GTTTTTTTAATGAATTTTGGTGTTTTTTTTTTTTTTTTTTTTAAACTTTCTATTTCAAACAGTCCCATTTGTTGTTTACGGAGAGTTTGTGTGCTCACTGGAGACGCCATGGGGGGAGAAGTGCCCCGGGCAAGGTCACTGTGCAGTCTCCCGTCCCACCCTGTCGCGGTTTCAGCATGCACACACACGTGCTTGGTGTGCCTAAGCCTCCGGGGCCAGGACCCGAGCTGCACTTGGGCCCGTGGTTCCTAAGCGCTGGCCGCAGGCCAGGCCTGTGTTTCTCCATGTAGCTTCAGGGTAGGCGCTCACGGAGCTGGTTATAGGCTCTGATTTTGTTCTCTTACGGCGGTTGTGAAGCCGTTTACATAGCTCCCGTTACTGTACATAGCTCCCGTTACTGCTTTAGCTGCAGATCGATGCGTTTGACTTCCTTTTCATTTGGTTCTAGGTGTTGACTTGGCTGCGATTTTCCTTTGTGAGCAGTAGGGTACTATTCCACTTCCAGACGTGGTGTCCCCGGACACTGTTACCAAGGTGGCTTTAGTCTGTCCCATCAGGATATGTTCTGTGTGGCTTCAGTCCTGTCGAGTCTGAGCCCGGTCGAGGACACGCCGTGGACCCGTGCCTGTCCAGCTGTATCGGGAGGGTGTGCTCTGCTGTTCCAGGTGGGGCTTGGCGCCTTTCGCCCTCGGTCTAGTCAATGGAGGGCCTTGTTCAGAGTTTCTGTATCTCACTCATTTTCTGACTGACTGCCTCATTTACTCGAGTGGAGTTAGCCACATTTTCCATCCTGTCACTTTTTCGGTTGTTGGTTTTTATTTGGTACTCTGTGTTAGGTACAGAGACACAGGGTTGTATCGGGTCTTTGGAAAAGTCTCGATGCCCTTCATGTAGGAGATGCCGTGACCTTCATGAGGACCCATTCTCTTTGCCGAGCCGACCACTGGTTACTTGGGACGCTTTTCTGCAGCCTCGTAGTGGCCCGCCCCTGAGATCTGCCCCCAGCAGGACGGCCCCAGCTTACTCTGCTCCCAGTCAGCTTCCTGTCTGACCTCCGTGCTCTGGGCGAGCCCCGTGGCGGCCGTCACCCTCCCACTGTGACCTGCCCGGTCGGCTGGAGGAGCTCTGCCCGTTGCATGTTTCTGTGGCGACCGCTTTCTCGGCCACTGTGGTCAGAAAATGCAGGTTTTCCTGAGTGGTACAAGATGCGTCCCCTTGCTTTCCTGCTTGCGTGGCTTTTAACCTGAGTCTGTACCATCATCCCTTTGCTGGTGACGCCCTTTCCCTCGCTCGGCCACCCTGGCCGCTCTCTGTCCCAGAGTGCGCAGTCCGGGCCATCTGTCTGTCTGCGTTTGCTTTGTGCCGGCGATCCGTAAGGCCAGATAACTGACTCCATTGTCCTACCAGTTGGGGTTCTACTTGCCCAAGTTTCCTCCCCTCCCCCAGGCCCCTCTGGGAGTGCAGGTGGGGCTGCTTCCGGCCCCACGCACACGCACGCGCACTGGGGCTCCGCTCCCTTGGGACCTTTTTCCTCTCTGGTCCCTTTTGCGTAGATTCTGATGATACATTTTCAACTCTGACCTTCCTTCCCGTGTCTTCTTCTCTGACTCTATTTATTATCCACTCTCCACTGTCCTAGGCAAGATGCGGAGCAGCCTATAAGCCATCTCTCCTTGCGATCACCTCCCCGGCCCACTTCCCAGCCACCACCATAGTTATGTCAGAAACATCTTATAAATGACTTCGTGTATTAGGCAACCTTTTGAGATGGGACTTTTTATTGGGGGGAGGGTGAGATTTTTGGTATAAGACACATGCACTTACTTGCCTGAGAGACAGAGACAGAAAGTGAGAAATCATCCCCCAGGGGGATGGCCACGCCACAATCCCTTCTCTCCTTTCTCCTCCTGGGATTTTGGGTGTGTACACAGTGCGTGGCCTGAGTTTTAAGCTGCCGGGTCCAGAACTCAAACTGCGGTCAACTTTGTGGGAGTCCAGTGACATAATCATTACGCCACCCGCTGGTTCTGGGACTTAAAAAAATTTTTTTTTTCTTTTTTCTTTGGAGAGGTTTTTGCTAAAGGCATGTGTGCTCGCCAGAAAGACAGAGAGACAGAAAGCGAGAAATCACCCCCCAGGGGGATGGCCACGCCACAATCCCTTCTCCTCCATTCTCCTCTCGGGATCTTGGGCACGCACACACACATGCCTGGTGTGAGTTTTAAGCCACCGGGTCCAGGATGCAAACCGCGGTCGACTGTGTGGGAGTCCAGCGACATAGCCATTACGCTAACTGCTGGTTCCCCTAGTATGTTCCTTTATGAAAAGATTTTGCCAGAGAGGAGACGGGGCATGGCCATGCTGCAGTCCCCCTCCATCGGTCTCCTGGGGTTTTGGGCACGCATGCACATGTGCCCATGTGTTTCACATGGTACGGGGTCGAGCCAGACTGCTGGGTCTGCCATGTGGGACCTGGCTCCCTTAACCGCCAGGCATGGGGCAGCAAACTTGGCGCCTCTTTATCCCCAAGAGTTCACGGTGCTGTGGTGTGGATGGCCCAGCGCTTGCCCGGCTGTGCCCTCCTGGAAGGCGCGAGCGCAGTTTCCATGTCTGGCCTGTCCGCAGAGCGGCTGTGAGCACCATGGAGGTGCTGGTTTACGCGTGACGTCTGCCCTCTGGGGTATTGTCCAGGAGAGCTGTCGCTGTTGTTTCATTCCGTAAGAAATTGCCAGGCTTTTCCAAAAAAAACTGTCACGGACGTTCCCAGTGACGAGCTGAGTGTCCTGGGCTCCGCATCCTGCTGGCCATGGTGCTGCCGTCTCGACCCGGTCCTCGTCAGATGTGGCCACACACGCTCCTCCCTGTCGTACCATCTTTTCATTCTCTCCCTGGGCTTCCCAAGCCCAGGTTCCCCCGTTCCCTTCGTGGCCTCTCTCTCCGAGAGGCGCTCTGCCTACATCGGTCGCGAAGGTTTTGCCCCCGAGGTTCACATTTCTTCTCCTTTTCTCGGGGCGAGGTCTAAACAGCAGACATCCGAGTCTTGTCAAGGACCTGTGTCCTGGCTCTCCAGCTGTGCACTGTGCCCTCCCGTGGCAGCTGTGTATCTTCATTGGGAATTAGTTTTACGTTAGGCGAGGGTTAGGTGGGGTTAGGTTTACAGTCCAGTGTTTATTCTTCAGCCCCTTCAGCCCAGGGGTCCTTACTGCTAGCTGTCTTACAGGCTCCTTTGGGTTTCTGACGGTCATCTCAGCCATGACGCCGTTTTGCTGCCGTGTCCCTACTCGCATGCCCTTTGTTCCTTGTTCTTGCTCGATGGTGCTGCCAGAATGTTCTGGATTGTGCTGAGTAGAGGCGAGAGCAGACATCCTGACCATGCCCTGGTGTCAGGGAGGGAAGGGAGCATTCAGCCTTCCACCAGCAACTGCAGTGGCAGCTGCAGGTTCGCGGACGTCCTCTGTCAGCTGGAGGAAGCCGCGCTCTACCCAGTTTGCTCAGTGGCGTGGAGGTTATGGCCAGCTGCATGGGTATCCCTCCCTCTCTGCTCTTCTCTCGGGCTCTGGTATGCACAAATGCTCAGCCTGTCTTTTAAGCCATGGGGTCCAGGACTCGAACTGCGTGGTCAGCCATGTGGGATTCAGCCTCCTTAACTCCACGCCACCTGCTGACCCACCTTGTTTTCTTTTCACCGCATACTTAACTGCTGAGAGAGAGGAGTTGGGAAGGAGCAGGCACCCCATCAGGGTGTCATCCCTCAGTCCCCTTTAGCCTTGCCAGCCTGGGTCATGGTGTGTGTGATGCAAACCCGGGACCTTCCTTGCGGCACCACTGTGGCCAGCCGCGATGCCTTGTTTTCTGTCTCCAAGTAACACAGTGCGTTCCTGTGGTAGTGACTTCCCGGACTTAGCCAGCTAACGTTCAGATTCACGTTCATGAAGTGATTTTACATTTCATCTGTCTGAACTTAAATTTGTATGTGAAGTAAACGGCTTTTGTGCAGGGAGCCCTATAGCAGCCAGCTGGGAACGATCCCTCATGTTGGCGGCTGTGCTGCCCCGTGACGGTCCTGTCTCCTCTTTCACAGAGACACCTATGGCTGCTGATGAAGGCTCAGCAGAGCAGCAGGCGGGAGAGGCCCACGTGGCCGCAGACGGCGAGACCAACGGGCCATGCGACCAAGGTGGCGATGCCAGCAGCCATTCACAGGCGACGAAGCACACGCAGGAGAGCGCAAAGGCCAGCTCACAGGAAGGCACCAACACACTCCCCCGAGTCGCGGAGAACGGAATTTCAGAGAGAGACATAGAAGCAGGACAGCAGAACCACGTCACGGCCGACGACTTCACGCAGACCGCTGTTGTGGGCAGCAATGGCTACTTCCTGAGCAAGCCGGCCCTGCAGGGGCCACCCCTGAGGACTAGCAGCGCTCTGGCCTCTGCACTTCCTGGCCATGCTGCAAAAACCCTGCCTGGAGGGGCCGGGAAAGGCAGGACTCCGAGTGCTGTTCCTCCAGCGCCAGCTGCAGCACCAGCCATGCTCGGGGAGGGGAGCGCAGGTGTGGAGGACAGGAAGCCCGCGACCCCCGGCACCGACGTCAAGGTTCACAGGGCACGCAAGACCATGCCACGATCCGTCCCAGGCCTGGTAATCTCACGTCTCCTGCGTGTCCTTTCCTGTCTTTCTTACCTGTTGGACATGACGGCAGACAGACTGGGCGCTGGAGTGGGGACGGCCGTGGCCGTGGGTATCCGGCAGGTGGTCTCCGTGCGCTGGAACGGGGACGGCCGTGGCTGTGGGTATCAGGCAGGTGGTCTCCTCTTGGCCTGTAATGGATCAGGCGAGGCTCCTTGTCCCGTGTGTGGGACAGCTCCTCGTAGTGCTGTCTGCTGCTCCGCGCTCCCTGCTGCCACGTGTAACATGCACACGGCATGCACATTCAAGGAAGCCACTTTCTCTTCTGCTTTAGGCCCAGGGGCCTTCGTCTCGGCTCAAAGGGGTTGGCACTCAGCCCCGTCTCATTGAGAGGCGAAGAGCAATGTGGTGGCTTGAGGTCACAGGGGACCGAGCGAGGGACGGTGCTCAGCAGGACGCTCCCGTCTGTCCTTCTGTCCACTGCGCAGGGTCAAGCCCAGGCATACCTCGAGAGCTGGCAGTGTGCATCTTATGCCTGGCCTTTCGGTGCAGGAGACCCTGATGCCGGCACCTGGGGCACTCCTGCCCCGCAGCAACGCCCTGTGAGCAGGACTCCTGTGGGGCCTGTGGGCGGTAGTTCTGGGCTCCCTGGTCGGTGCTGGCTGGCTGGCTGGGTCACGATCCTCTTCGTAGACTCTGGTCGGGCTGCGGTGAGTACGCCAGAGCCTCCGTCCCGTCCTCTGTCAGCTGACCGTCTGCGCTCCCCTCTGCAGCCTGTCAGGGTTCTCACAGGCCCTGCCGTGCTGAAGGTCTGTGCCTTCAGCTCAGGGAACATGCTGGGTGTGGGTGCTCTCGCTCGACTCCCTCCCAGACGGGCCTGTCTGCTGTGCCTGGGGACAGCTGCTACCTGTCCCCCAGGCCCCGTCTGTCCTGTGGCCTCATTCCATGAGCTATGTGCTTTGTTTTGAAGTTTGTTCTTTTTATACCCATTGTCTCTTTTTTTATTTATCAATTTTTATTTAAAAGTCATTTTTAATTTATTTTCAAAATCGTTTAATGTAATTTATTATTATTATTAAATCTGATCAGAATGAGAGAGAGGAAGCGAGATAGCGAGCCACCCCTCTGAGACCAGACAGCAGTCTGCCAGTGGGGGTCCAGCAGCCCAACCAGGTCGCCCGCTGGGCCCAGGTGTTTATTTTTTTGCTATAGAACATGTGTGTTTGCCAGAGAGACAGAGGGGGGAAAGTGAGAAATCACCCCACAGGGGAGATGGCCACACCACAGTCCCTCCCAGTCTCCCCACGGGGTTTTGGGCACACACGCACACGCAGCCAGCGTGATTTTCAAGCCGCTGGACTTGAGCTTCATAGTTGGCCGGGCGAGATCCAGGCCTCACCCTCCACAGGAAATGACGTTCCTGATGGATTCTTTTAATTATAAAAATCTGTTCTGAATTGTATTTCTTCTTTTCCTCAAAAGATGCAGGCTGCAGCTCCTTTATCATGCTTTAAACTCCGATCCCTCAAGTGAGTGCTGTTCTGCTTGAGCTTGTTCCTGGTGATGTTTACTCTCAGACGTGGATTTCTTTTTCTTTCTTTCTTTTTTTTTTTTGAGAGGTTTTTGCTATAGGGCGCGTGCGCTCGCCAGACAGACAGAGAGAAACATAGAGACAGAAAGCAAGAGAGCACCCCCCAGGCAAGATGACCACACCGCAATCCCTTCTCCATTCTCCCCTCGGGATCTTGGGCACGCACGCACACGCGCCCGGTGTGAGTTCTAAGCAACCAGGTCTGGGACGCGAACCGCGGTCGACTACGTAGGAGGAGTCCAGCGACATAGCCATTATGCTAACTGCTGGTTCCCAGATGTGGATTTCTTTTTCATCTTTTGTTAAGGGACTGGCAGATGGCGTAATGGTTATGCTGCTGAACTCCCATGTGGTCGACTGTGGTTCGAGTCCTGGATCCAGTGGCTTAAACTCATGCTGGGTGTACATGCGTGCCCAAAATCCTGAGAGGAAAATGGAGAAGGGTCGTGGTGTGGCCATCCCCCCCCCCCCCGGGGGGGGGGGT